GCTCTGAGAGCGGGAAAGACGGACTGCCCTCCCCTGCCCTCTGCTGGCGCGTGCTGTGCATTACAACCAATGTCGTCCCTGTCAAAACTCCGTGTCAGTGTAATAGAATGAAACGCATCTGTGATTTGGCGCACAGTCTGTGACGTCACGGTATTGAAAATCATACCGACGGGATTTCGAAATACCCTGGTATACCGTAATACCGTCATACCGCCCAAGCCTAGTGCACACAGTTGCTGAATAGAAGTCACTGCAAAAAGCTTGATTTCCAATGTCCATACCACCTATAAAAGAAGAAAAAACCTCTTAACTTCACATTCACGTTTATGCACTGTAACAAGAATGTTTTGTGTTGAAATGGTCTTAACCCTCTAAATCGTCATCATTCAGGACTGCCTCCAGCCGTTGAGTATGCAGGCCCTGCCAGCCCAGCCTGAGAGTCTGTGTATTGTTGAGATGGGAGGAGTGGAGAAACAGGATGAACTCGGAGAAAAGGGAACCATCGGCTTCCTCTACCTCAACATAGGGCTCCAGGTATGCTTTCTCATTTACAAATCTTCAGTTTTTTCAATCAAAACCCCTATAAGAAGACCCATCATATCCACTCTTAATGTGAGCTCTGATCTTTTTCATAGATTCATGAGAAAAAACCGTTTTGCATTCTTTATTAATGTATAGGATAGGGATATGTAACCCAATCCTCTATAGTTGTTCTAAAAATAGCTACAACAACCCATGACATCAATCAGAAGCTCTGCTCAAACATGAGCTGCTCTAATGTCATCTGTTTGAATTTATCAGCCGGTATCTGGATCATGTCATCTAGTAATCTTTGTGTCTGTTTGATCCCTTCTCTCAGAACGGTGTGCTGCTGAGGACTGTTCTGGATCCAGTGACGGGCGACCTGTCAGACACCAGAACACGCTACCTGGGGTCCCGACCCGTCAAGCTCTTCAGAGTCAGGATGCAGGGGCAGGAAGCTGTATGTGATACTGACATACAATCATCACACACAAAAGATGATGATATAGCTCCAACATAATAAAATACATAAATCGGTGTGCATTTTAACCCCTTAAGAATTGGTAAATCTGTTTCAATTCATGTGAATCATTGGAAATCGTCTCCTGTCGCTTACAGGTTCTGGCCATGTCCAGTCGGTCCTGGCTGAGCTACTCGTACCAGTCGCGCTTCCATCTGACCCCGCTGTCATACGAGACTCTGGAGTACGCCTCTGGCTTTGCATCTGAGCAATGCCCTGAAGGCATCGTCGCCATTTCCACCAACACACTGAGGTATGGATATACACTGCAGGTAGACCTGTTTGAATAGGCAGCTCTATTTGTCATACTTATTTAAAAGGTCTCTTAGATGTTTGGTAAGTTCAAGAAAAATGACATACAGAACAATATGCATTATACGTCTTTAAGAAATTATGTTTGTGTGATTGTTAGGGTTACATTTTAATTATGGTTCTCATCCTTTGATAAATGTTTGTCGGAAAATAAAGGTTAACAAAAGCTTAGTGAATTTAACATTTTCAGAGATTCACGTTGTGCTGCATCATAAAAAAGGGCCCGTTTTTGGTTGCGTTTCCACTTAGCGTAGTACCGGCTAGCGGGTACTATTTCACAGTTTTTCTGGGGGGGGTGGGAGTGACGTCACGTCTTGAATTTTGAATTGAGCCGTCCCTTTTATAGATACTATCTCTTTACGTCTCCCTGCCGACAGGGACACCCCTCCTGGCATGGTCCTTGGAAAATGTGGCGTGTTTTTTTTTTTGTTCCGTCACAGGAACACGCTTTGCTGGCGGCAAAAATAATCCCACCAGACTCCTTTGCCCCTCCAACAGAGGGTTGTCCTTGTCATTTTTTTTTAGACGCCCTCGGCTCGAGTTCAGGGTGTTCCGAGCTGAATAAGGGATTCAAATGACGGCAAGACGCCCGCCTGGCGGAAACGCTGCTCTCTAGCCTTTGCTCAGTAAAAAAATCAGGAATGCAATGACCCTACTGCACTGTTTATGTACTTATTGGAAGTCACTTTGGACAAAATTGTCGACTAAATGAAATGTAATGTACTACTCCTCTACCTAGTGTTATGATGTGGTTTGAGAGTTAATTTGTTGCCCTGTGAAATAAATGTTGGGTGGGACGGTTTAGTGGAGAAGCATGGTTCGAACTTCGTAGCTCGGCTGTACCCTTGAAGTTAAAAAGGATCTGTAACAGTCTCTCCCTTCTCCTCATCCGTCTTGCAGAATCTTGGCTTTGGAGAAATTGGGAGCAGTCTTCAACCAGGTGGCCTTTCCTCTGCAGTACACTCCGAGGAAGTTTGTAATCCACCCGGAGACCAACAACCTCATTTTGATCGAGACCGACCACAATGCCTACACCGAGGCAACCAAAGCCCAAAGGAAGCAACAAATGGCTGAGGTAAGATTTGCAATGTTGATCAAAGGATTAACCTGTTAAGTAGTATAGTTCTATAGTTG